CGTTTTACTTAAGTTCTGAATCTTTACGTTCTCTTTTACTGACTGTTATTTGAAAAAGTTTTTTGAGTTTTTTCTTTTTCTTTTCTTTTTTAATTTATTACATTACCAATTTTATTTTTCCTTTTATTTTGCACTTATTCTTCTATTATTGGTTTTTGCTTTTTACTGTTAAGTCTCCTTTTAAAGTTATTGTTGCTGTTTCTTTTGATTTTCTCTATCCCCCTTTCAGAGTTTATCTGTTTATTTTTTCTACGTGTTATTTTTTTGTCGTCGTCCGAATTTATTTTTTTCTTTCTTTATTACGTTTGATTTTTTACGCCTTACTTCGTTCTTTGTTTTTTTTTACCTTTTAAATATCCTTTAAGTGTTGTTTAATTCTTCCATGTTTGTTTGTTCTATTTTTTTATGTTTATTTAGTTTAGTCTGTCTATCTTTTTAATTTTATTTTTGTATTTCGTTCATCGGCAAACCATTTTATTTACGGCAGACATATTGATTGTTTTCTTTACTTTATACGTATTGTTTGTTTCGTATTCGTGTTTGTAGATTGTTTTTTTTTTTTTTACTTTTAAATTTAGTTCTAAAAAAGCTTTATTGTTGTTTTAAGTGTTTTCTTTATAGTTTACCTTATTTTGTGTAATTTTCCGGGTCTTCGTTCGTACAAATGTTGTTTTGGTATTTTTCATTTGGACTTTTGTTTTCCGTACTAATTTTGTGTATTTTTTTCGTTTTCATTTGTTTGTGAATAATTGTTCAGGTTTTTCTTGACAAGTCCTTAATTTTTCTGAAAGGTTTTACTGCTTTTTGGCTCTTTTTAAATAGTAAAACAAGAAAGAACCCCCACACACACTTTTTAAAATGGTCCGTAAAAATCTTTTCGAGACCAAAAGGAAGAAGAAATATACAACCGATAAGGAACAGGAAAATAAACAGGAGGATGTTATGGAAACAGTCGACGAAGGAAAAATGCCAACAGCAAGAGGCGGTTGCCGATAGTATTATTTCCAGAGAGAGTATGATCGCTGGAAAGTCCCAAAATACTGGAAACCAGACGAAACCCGACGAAACTCTGGAGGCCAAAATTCACCAAAACGGACAAAAGCAGCTGAAGATGCAAAAATTAAGACAAAAATGTAGTGGCCGGAGAGACGCCATGCTGTTGGACGACCCCACCTGAGTGTTCAATCAATATCACGGAGTTTCTCGAGAAAGCCAAAAGTTACGCACATCCGGTGAATGCAGATGGGCTTTTGGTCAATTCGGAGGAATTAAAGAGAGTTGATAAAAGAATTGTGTCAGTCTTTGTGGTGCGCAAGCGTTCGCGCAAAATCTGTCGCTACACAAACGACACCCTAATTTCACTAGGGATCAAACCCCAGAAGGTAATCACAGGAAAGGGATTTTTCATGTGGGACGTACTGTTACCCACGCTTGCCGGTTGTGAAGCCGCTACGTGTATCTATCTCATAACTAAAGACGTACTCTGCGTACAGAATATGAATGCACCCGGCGCCCCCCCCCTAGTATCAGTATTTGAGGTTCCTCCTCGGATCATCGGGGAACACTTGGCCGCTTATCTGTGCTAATTTGGTCAGATACTCTGTGCTACCTCTGACGACTTGACCGGGGGATGGAGTTTTGAAATCATGATAGACCGAAAAGCCTTCATCTCCATCCCCAACTCTCTAGATGTAGCGGGCCAGAAGATGCCAACTATAGTCACCGTGCGTAGACAGACATACTGGAAGTGTGGACAGACTGGTCAGTTGTCCTCTTCCTGCACAAAGAAGAAGGCCTCTGTAATTCTGGCCCCTGTCGACCCAAATCCACCTGCGACCCAGTCTGTTACATCCGTCTCGCCTGTAATGGGCATGCCAGCGACCGGGACCGGTGTGGTTAGACCCCCGGTTGGTTCTCTCAACCCCATTTCCCGAAAAGCCTTTGCCCGCCGCGGGTGCGGTTGTGGAGAAGGAAGAAAGGGAATGGCATGTCGTTTGTAAGGTCAAAGTAAGCTCCGGGCAGCGGGACCTCGTTCCACTGGAGTCACTACGGCTAAAAACACGCACAGCCCCAATCACTCTACCAGTATTAAGGGCGGCTATTCGTGAACCTATTCGACGGTTCTTGCGTCGAGCAGAGACGCAGATTGACGAAGTCAGCAAAGAAATCAGTGGTGATGAGATGGTGACAGTGGTCAAGATCAACCGCGATAAGTCTGTTGCATTGCAGTTGGGTGCGTTGAAGGGAGTTTCTCTTCCCGGACCTATCCTCTGGACTGATGGGCTGGTCAAGGTAATCGGCGTCTGGTTCGGTCCTGATCTCCAGCGGGATATGAATTGGTCGGAGGTACAAGAGAAGGCCGAGATCGCGATTAATCTTGAAGGTGAGAGCGGAAGTATGTGTTTCACACATCTACTCGATTCTCCTTTACCGACTATCTGTACTTCCACTTCCGTATGCCACACTAATGTCATTAGTAAGGCTCTTGTTTTCTTTCTTATGGAGAGGCAAGGCCGCTATGGTATCTCGGGAGATCTGTTACCTTCATCCATCTGAAGGCGGTCTGGGTATTCCTACCATTGAGATTTCTCAATATATGCTTCGCATCGTCTTCCTAGACCGAATATGTCGCGAATCGGATGAAGAGGACTCCTTCTGGAAGGAAGACGCCCGTAAGAAATTTTCCATCCCTGAGAAGTGTGCAAGAGGTCGCCCACCGTCTACTCCGAGCCAATTGCTCTTTCTATCGCGAATGTCGCCATGCTCTGAAACGCCTCTTATGGGCGCTGGATGGCCTCTCGAGCGTCCTGGCCTTGTATCGTAGGCCGTTATATCAGGTGTTAGTCAGCCGGTCCGTTCGTCAGGATCTGATTGACGAGCTCGGTCTTACGAAGCAGGAGGCTCGATCAATATGTCCTTGGGCGCCCGGGTTGAAATGCCTCAGTAACGATGAGGCATAACTCACCTGGCTGATGATTCGTGGGGCCCTCTGGATCGCCAAAAACTTCGAGACCTTGGGTCACGCCTTCATTGATTGTAGGGTGGTAGCACCGATGTGCAAGTTTGTTGAAGGCCTCATGGTCCGCATGCTGCGTAGAAAGTTGTTTGTCCTTGAGGCCAGTTTTGTTTGTAGCAATGTGGTGCCGCCGATGACGAATGCTGAACATCATGTGTTATTGTGTTTCTAGGTATTATGAGAGTCGTGATTTGGACGCCACATCAGAAGGAATTCTCTGAAGGCGAGAAGATCACTCCTTCCAAACTGATCTTGTTCTTTAAGCATCAGCTTAAAGTCAAGATTAGATCGGAAAAGCAGCGACTCACTTCATCAGAATTTGGCAAAAGGTGGATGAATCATGCAGGTTTGTGTCGAGAAAAAAAGCGGCTGACCTAGATGGCATTTTGATGCTGGTTAGGCGTCAGGATTTTTGTTCTTCCTTGGTTGAACTTTGGCCACCTATACCGAAATTAGGATATTTTAAGTTT